AGGTCTTCTTGATCACTGGCTGCATTATACATTGTGTTCAGACCTACTCGGAAGAAAATTTATTAATTCTCCAGGTGGGCTAATAAAGGGAAATTCAGAATAATGTCAGATGGTGCTCCATTCAAAATCCAAGAAAGAAATACTTAAGACTCCATTAATTAGAGAAAATATATCTTTTACTGGAAGTCAAGTGGTAGCAACAAAAGAATTCTGAATCTGAGAAAATGAGCACATAAATCACATATACAAAGTGATGGCAACATTCCCAACCCCAATAGTTCAATTGGCTCATCCAATTAAAAGTTGTGTATAGCATCATGTTGGCATCTCCAGGTGGTGATGAGGCCTCTGTCCATTGACCTTGACATATTTTGATAAAGAGTTGCAGCTGTGCATAGCATAGGATAGAAGCCTAAGCAAGAACCCTCCACAACTTATACAGTTGTTTTGTAACACTTCCAGCTCACTTCCCATAACCATGTGCCCCCTCCTCCCTCATTACTTATGACAGCCAAAAGATGCAAAGCAAAGGAAGAAAATCTTGAAGGGGTGTCAAACTTGTGGCCCACAGCCAGATGCATCACACGCTGGCCACCCCCATCCTGAGTTTAGTGAAGGGGAAAAATGTCACAATATGTCGCGTGATGACAACGTGATGTCTGCTTTAGAGCCTTATTATTTGATCCTAGTTAAAGAAATGTTCATTACGAACTACGGTACCAAAAACAATATATAGCTTAACCTTCTAAATAGGTCCTTTTTGTATCCCTTCCAAATAAGTCCTTTTTGTTTCACTTCCATTCACTTTTAAGAACCTTGATCCTTAATCCCTTCAAATAGTGTCCTAAAATTGGTTTAGTAACAATTTCTCTCTCCTTTTATATTTTTTTTCCCAAGATGGCCCCTCCCTCAAGATGGCGTTAACAGATGGATGATTCTTTTTCTCCCAATAATGAACACATGATTTTTGTCACTAAAACTGGTTATTTGATGGCTCTGCTCCCAGTTTTTTGAAGGGGAGACGAGGAAGGACCCAAGATGACCATTGGGGACAATTGTGTACCAAAAGAGAAGAGAGGGTCTTGATGGTCATAATTTTCAGTAAGAAGTCTGGTCTCTTGCCACCTTTTCCCTTAAGATGCTCATTTTTTTCCCTTAAGTACACCTGGGTTTTAAGTGCAGTTTTTGAAGCTTTACAATTTCTTGATTTATGACTTGTTGACTTCTGATCTATTTTATAACCTCTTGCTGGACTTTTACAACCTTTTTTCCTGTTCTTTCACTGTTTGCTATTAAATTCCAAACTACTATTTAGCCGTAAGGAGATTTGTGGTGGGACTTACATTTACACAGGATTACACTATAAATTTTGCTCTTTTTAGGTTTTTTTTTAAAAAAGTCATTTATTTCTTAACTTTTATGGGAAAATTCCCCTTTCTTTAACCCTAGAGAAAAAAACCTTTCTGTGTGGATGCTGGGTAATGACTTACCTGCTTCTCTTATCCTGAAGAAAGAAAGAACAGCATTTATCTTGCCTCTAAAAGGAGATTAAATGGTGGGGGGGGGCAATTGAAAAAAGAATGCTCTCTAACTTAGAGCATTTTATTTGAAAATATAAACCAAAAAACTGATGGGTCGGTAATGGTTGTGCACACTCAAGATAATATCCAAAAGTAGGAGACAATAGTTGGATTTGATTTGCAATTTGATGAATTGAAACATGATCTTTTGCTGTCAGATGTGAAGAAGAAAGTACAGTGGAACCTCAAGTCACAATCGTAATCCATTTCAGGACCACGGTCACCATCTGATTTGGTCGCGACCAGAAGCATGACTGACTGCTCATGCACAGACAAAAACTGTGCAGAATGAGTATGCATGGAAGGGAAATTGGCATGGAAAGAGAATCTGCCATGGCCAAGTTTGTTAACCATCTGATGTTTGAATCGTGACCCAATTCAAAAATTGACTGGATTTTTTGGTCGGGAACCCGATTTGGTCATGAACAGAAGCATTCGTGACCCGAGGTTCAACTGTACTTGATTTTAAAAATATAGATCTGCCAGAAAAGATTGAAAAGAATATAAGAGATTCTGGGATAATGGATAGGATGATGGTTGGACTGGACTTTCTTGGCTGTGTTATAAAGAATTATTCAACAATGGATCTTGCAGATGTATTTATAACAGAGATTTATAAAAAATATTTAAAATCTAAGGAAAGGTTTCATTATTAAGAACCAAAGAACAGTATTTAATCCTGGACTCCGAGATAATGATTGAGATGATTTGTGGAAAATAAGAAACCATATAGACTTTCTATGAGTAAATTATATTAACAGACTATTAACAGACTGCTTTGAACTTTAACTTTGCTGTTATTTAATCTGTTAGCTATTTTTTCTTTCATTAATGTATGTCATGTCAAGTTCATAAATTTTGGGCCTGTTTTGCAAGGGGAAAGCTATTATTGGTTCAATAGATTTGTCAGTGTTCAACTAGGGGAGAATAACATGTGTTTTTGTCCTTTGTTTTAGAAATTCACATTTTTAAATGTTTTTATCTAGCTTTGTTTTGTCTCTGTTTAATTTTTCTCTTTTGTATTTTAATCTTCTAGATAAAAAATGTTAAAAATAGAAATTCCTTTACAAATTTAAGATGTTTCTTTTGTTAATCCAAGATAAGAAAGCTGTCTAAATCATTCTTCTGATTTATTATTTCTATATCCTCTTTAATTATGATGACATCAGCCAATTTCATTTATAAATCCAGTGTAACCTTGTTTTTTGTATCATTCTTGTTATCTGACATTATTTTTGTTCTATTTATATTTTATTCAGGTTAAAATACAAAACTCCAAATTATTTTAAAAGCAAACAAAGAAAATACACAAAGCAACAGTAAAACATTAACAAGTGCATTAAAAAGAAAAAAAGACCTAAGACATATACACGTATTATGCCCTCAGCTGAATAGTAATATTACTACATTATTAGTTTTCCAGCCCTTCCAAACAGGCTCCAATTTTTTAAAAACTACTAAATCTATTTGCAAATTATTAACGTGCCATCTATATATTACATTAAGGATAAAATACCATAGTTAACAAGAACAATAATAATAAAAAAGCAAGATTAAAATTGTAAAACCCTTGTGAATGAACTATTGTAATCAACTTGTAGAAAATTTACTATGCCATTTTACTAGTCCTAAATTATCCCAAGAGTTAACAACTTGAATCAAACATCCATGTTTGTTTCTTAATACTACTTTATCAATTGTTGTTTGGTTAAATATAATAAATTCAATCTGCAAAATCAGTTTATCTTTCCCAAAATATCCAGATGAAATTGTTTTCCAGTTAAGTGTGATAAATCCATTCCCCAAACTTTTTTATCTTCCTAGATGAAAATTTATCACCTCTTCAACTTTGTCAGGTTTCTGTTTTTATAAAAGAATGCAGGCTTGAACTTCAGGGAGGTGTGCAATCAACTCAGTTCTAAATCTGTACAGGCCGTATTTCTTTCCAGTGAATCTGCTGCTTTCAAATTATATTCCTTTTGTGAATCTAATTTATCCAGAGCTACATGCATCTGAATTTTTCTACAGCCATTATCATTTCATCAAATGATAATGGCTTTAAAAGCTTTCAGTTAGGGATTGCATGATACCACGCCATCTTTTTTTCAGATATTAGCCACACTGCTTGTCTATAAAAAGCAAAACGAAACAAAAGATTCAAAAAGTGAAGTTAAAACTCAGTCATAGTTAAGAACATGAACTGTCAAGAGGAAGATGAATAACTGGTAATTTTCTGACCAGGAAACTGGAATCTTCAAGATTCCCTCTCCCAGGTGGGTTCTCAGCTATCCAAAAGCCATCTTGAGTCATTGGGCCATGGTGGTGCAGTGGTTAGAATGTAGTATTTCAGGCTAATTCTGCTGACTGCCTGCAGTCTGATTGTCACTGGCTCAAGGTTGACTCAGCCTTCCATTCTTCTGAGGTCAGTAAAATGAGGACCCAGATTTCAGGGGGCAATATGCTGACTCTGTAAAATGCTTAGAGAGGGCTGTAAAGCACTTTGAAGAGGTATATAAGTCTAAGTGCTATTGCTATTCAAATCCAGGGAGCAACACTCCCTCTTTGGCAACAAAATCAGCAGATTGTCAATAAGAAAAAGAAAAATTCCTACTGTTCAGCAACCGTCTTGGGAAAAAGTCTCATAACCTGGCATTTTTAAATCTATGGGATTAGCATGCTGCCTGCCAAGAAACAGCCTTTGAAACAGCCCTCTTTTCTTGTTTTTTAAACTGCAGCTGTGACTTCTTCAGCAGCTGAAGTTGAAAAATCAGGAAATAAAGATCAGGTAAGAGCCTGGGTGGGCGGGTAGGCAAAAACATCAGCAGACATAGAACCGGTTCTATTGCTGCTCTTCAGAGCTACCGGTTCTACAGAGGTGGACAGAACCGGTAGAAACCCACCCCTGATCCACATCCAAATTAACCACAGTCTGTTTTATTTATGAAAATTTGTGCCTTTGCATAATTTATTTTGAATCCCATTTTCATGATAGCAGACATTCTTATGATATCCTTGAATTCTCCCATAATCAAATAATACTGCTCTATTCTGAATCAATGGGTATCTTCTTCTATAATTTTAATTTCTAGTTCTCTTGTTCCCTTGAGTCAACCATAGAAGTCCACTTTTAACAAGGTGGACTTTTTTTTAATCAGGAACACCTTCCAACAAGAAGTGTTTTTACAGTTAAGTTTCAAGATCTATCTATCTATCTATCTATCTATCTATCTATCTATCTATCTATCTATCTGGATATATATATATATATGTGTACAATTTTACACAATCCATAGGAAATATTCTTGTCATTGATTTTTAAAGCCTTATTTAAACTTTTAAATACTTTCAGAACCCTAAATTTAGCATTAGAAATGTAGATGTGGATAGGAAAAAAATTAAACATTTATTTCTGTTGCTAATTTAAATTTTACGTTTGATAGCCCGTAAGTAGTGATACTTTCCTTTCTTCCTACAACCCATGTACAAGACCTCTAAGTCTATCTCTTCAGGGTCTATTATCAATTCAAAAGTAAAATGCTGAAGCAGAATGGAAAAGATCAGGAACAATTCCATATCAGCCAATGCCTCTCCTGGACAAGCTCTCTTCCCTGTACAAAAAAAAACCAAAGAAGATAATTACTTAATTGCCAATTAGTCACTTGTTGATGTAGGCAGCTATACACCTCAAATAAATCAATAAATATCTGATGCCTTTATGCTAGAGAGAAAGTAAGGCATAGTCTCCCATCAGCACTGGAAAGTAAAAAACAGAACACCAAAAACAGCACATTGTAGTCTGAGTGCTGGGAAAATATTAGAGCCATTCCAAAATACCTGGATCTTTTGAAATGGCTGCCATTAATGTTTAATTTGCTTTTTAAAATAAAAGTGCCTTTACACCGTTAATCAACAACATGAAAAAATTACATCTGCCTATCCCAGTTTTTTTAGAATGATTCAATAGGTGGATCTATTCTCTCAGTGATTTGACACACCTCTTAAAACTAATGCAGATATTGGCAAGGGCAGCAGGATTCTTCCAGCATCTATGACAGGGGTGGTATTCTACCAATTTGACCCAGTTCTATAGAACGGTAGCTCTGAAGAGCAGCTGACACTGAACTGGTTCGTTCCAAAGATCTTCTTTGGTTCGGTTGGGCCATCCCACTTGCCCAGGCTCTAGGCTGTCCTTTATTCCCTGCTAAAGCAACCTTATTTGCTTTGCATGGCACAGCTGAGTGCCGTGTGTCAGCAGGAGAAGGTTATTGCTTGCAGAAGAAGTTGATTAAAAAGTACTGCGCACACGCGCAAAGCACGCGCTCACCGAACTGGCTGTAGGATCCCACCCCTGATCCATGAGCATAGGTAAGATAACAGTTCTGCAGCCTTACGGGTAACTAACCAACCTTGAAAGTCCCAAATCATTAAATCAGCTATAGCCCATCTGTTACCTGCAGAGAAAGGCATGTAGGCATCCTTCTTTTGGAATTCACCCTTCTTGTCCAAGAAATGAAATGGGTGAAAATTTTCAGGATCCTCCCAGTGGAGAGGATCAAAATGCATCGAAACCAACAATGGAAGAATAGCTGTGCCCTTTAAGGAGACAAGATGATACAGAGAGGAAAGTTATATATTTTTTCCCTCATAAAGAAATAGACTGTTCTTAATTCCTTCCAAAATGAGACTCTTAGGAAGGTATAATAAGTTAACATTGATGCAATTTGCAAGATTTCTCCATAGCTGGTGTTTGCATATTACGCCTTTGGTCCAACAAAAGAAAAACCTTATTTTGAATTATTTAAAAATGCCCTCTAGTTGTGTTAATACTGTACCACCTTGGTCCATTAGCACCATTTTTATTTAGAAGCTTTGATCCATTTGTATATGGTGCTCTTTATCCAGAATGGGGTTGAGGGATTAAAACACCTTAAAGCATTACAGAAGACTTGAACAATGGATGCCTACTTAGTTCATTACAGTTGTTCACTGATAATGTCATACTTGGCCTTTACCATTCTCTGGCAGACCTTCCTTTCAGCTTGGTTTTCTTGTTGCAGATATTTTATTACCAGATTAATAATGTCATGAGTGACCTAAGTGGGGAATTTAAATTGGTTTGCTGTCTACAGCCTTGTGTGGATTTGGAGAGATTTTTCTCCCCTTGATTGTTCTGCTTATTTGAATATTATTTAAAGGGTGTGTATTATGGAGGATGTGCTCAGGGCTGATGCCTCTTGCTTTCCCCTTTGATCGTTACTTTTGAATGGTTTATCAATTAGGTTTATCACTATATATCTGCCGATGATTAATTTTTCAGAATGACAAGCTTCTGGGATTGTGTTGCATTCTGCAACCTGTCTTGATGTAAGAAGTTTATACCTTCCAAGCTGAGATTCTGGTTCAATTTATCTGTACATTGTAACCTTTCAAAAAAATTTCATCATCTCTTCTGACAGACAATTGAGAGGTCCTCTTTGTACCTGCTGAAATATACTGTTATGATGTCCTAATATGGCTAGGAGACAATTATATTTATTCAATTATATAATATTTTATGCAATGACAGTAAAAATGTTAGCACACAAGCAAATCATTGTGAGGGTTGAAACAGTTTTGCAGTATGTATGGATACCAAAACACATTTAATTAGAAACCAAAAAGATAGCAACTGGTGCTTCATGGAAGCCTCTTCAGAGGGAAGATTCCAAAGTATTGTTTTATTAACTATTTTTCTTCTGTTCAATAATGTCTAATTCTCAGAGACAGCCTGGACAGTCTTGCAACTTTCTTTGCGAGGTTTTTAAAAAGTGGATTGCCATTGCCTCCTTATTGAGAGAAAGTGACTGACCTAAAGTCACTCATGTAGTTTTGTGTCTAAGGAAGAACTAAACTGCAATCTCTGTATCTAGCCTGATCCTTAACCAGGGGTGTCAAACTCAAAGTCTGTGGGCTGGAGTTGGCTTGTGGGGTGCTTATATCTGGCCCGCAGGGCTGGCTTGGGCATAGCAAAGGACTGAGCTCGGGGGGGCGGGCGGGGGGGGACATTCCTACAAAATATTACTTTTCCACTATTAGGAAGGCAGAATTCTAGACTCTAAAAGAGGCATGTTAAATTAATTAATCCATCATTTTTACTGATGACATTTGTGCTTCCGTTTTGCATTCTGGAAGAATATTTCCAGAAATATATTATGAATAAAAGTTAAAAGTTAAAGTTAAATATAATGCTAATTTTCTTATTAAACATGTTCAATTCCTTGGTACAAAGAAAAAGGAATTAACTTTTGTAGTTAAGAACTTTAATTAAAATCAATGAAGCTCAGCAGAGATGGGAGATGTCTAGGACGGTTGATGACATTTGCAAATAAATAGAGCATTCTGTAAAATCCAGTGGCCTAAAATTCAAATAACATTCACAAAATGTATTGTAAGCAGCAATTACTGCAGAAGCTTAATTTTACTGCAATTGCAGATACATATCTGTATGCAGAGAGAATCCCGGATATTGTCTGATTTTTCACACCTGAGGGATGAAGTGTCCCCTGAAATTCACATCCTGAGTTGTCATACGTGGGAAGTTCTCATTAGTTATGCGTAGAATACGTAAGATCTCATGAGCAAATGCATTGGTGTAGGGCATCTTCATCCTATCCTCCATGGAGGGGGCACGGTTGGCTCCCACAATCTCATCAATTTCCTGCTGGATTTTTACTGGAATGAATCATAGTTTTTTTTTAAACAAACAATATTATTTTTTAAAACTATCCAGACCTAAGCCGCACTCATCTTTAAGTAGTGGATCATCAAAGATGTACTCTAGTTTCTTACTTCCCAATTTCACATCTCTCTGGGCTCATTCACCTAGCTATTTGCCCTGCTTTCCTCCTACCTAGAGCTGGGAAGAAAGCATATAAAATATAAAGCACACCTTGTGCTCTTAAAAAATAGCTAAACAGGCCATTCTGTACCACTGTCCATTTAGCTTCTCCACCTGACACTGTGAGCGCAGTGACTAGCAATTTTCTTTGGCTGAACGTTGAAATTGGGGAAAGCCATCACCAATCGGCATGCAGAATGGGCCAAGCTGATGCTTAAGGGTTTAGGCATTCCATCCAATCATTTTTTTCTTCCTACTCTCTTCTCCACCCCACTGTAGGACAATTAGCCTATTGATCCCTGAATGGCAGCTAATTCTTCATCTATTTTAACTGCAAGATAGCAGTCATCCAGATTTGTGTAATCCAGATGCAGCTGTTTCATAAATGTTCTTGGAATCAGAATTCAAGAAAGATACTTTGCTGCATGAAAGAGAACATTATCTGCAACACCCACGTACGTTCTCCAAAATTATTACTGAATTCATATAAAATACTAAGAAAACATGCTTAGAGGAATGTAACATTTATATTAGGTTTCTATTATTTGAAGTCTCTTTAAAAGGCTAATTTGGTCTCTTTAATACATTGGATTGTCACTCGAAATATCTGAAAATATAATGAAAAGCAACAGGAAAATGCCAGCCAGTAGTTGATCTTTGTAGTGTATCTGGCAATCCATATTTGAGGGAGAAAATATAAACAAGGTTTATCACTCCATATACCTTGGACATCTGAGAATCTGGCCAGAAGAACAAGGGCATATGAGATGACACTGCTTGTGGTATCTGTCCCACCAATGAAGAGCTGAAACACAGACATGACCAAGTCTTCCATACAGATTATGGAAGAATTTTGTTCCTGTAAGTTAAGATAGAAATAAAATAAAGAGACAGAAGTTTGTAATGTGTAGCCTCATCACAATGTCATCAAGATGTCCTATTCCTTCTCATTTTTTTTTCTAGACCAACTTAGAAAGTAAGCAGCAAATAACTCAAGATAGAGTCCTCTATATTTTCTATATTAATTTGAATATCCAGTTCAACTTAATAGATGTTTGGGTTGGATGGATCATTGTTTAAATGAAAGGAAAACAGCTGAGTTCCAAATAAATCAAATTCGTCCTTTTTCTGTCCTGTATCATCAACTCTTCCCCAGAATCCTACCAGTTATGTAACTATTGCAATGCAGAAATTTCTTTTTTTATCTCTTCTTCATTGAATCTTCTCTCCATCTCCAGGATGGAGCTTTTTAAGTCTTCCAAGCAATCCGTTCATACATTTTTTATTCTCTGATATCCCCTTCCACAACCCCTTTCATTCTGCCAAGCAATAGCCACAAGACTTCACTTCCCTTTCCTTTCACTTCCCTTTCACATTCCCTCAAAGGGCATTTGCTATCTCATCATTCAATAGCATCCAGATTAATCTTGCAATGAATGTTTTGCTGGCCACAACTAGCAACCTGTCACAGTATTGTGTTTTTTTCAAATGGTACCAAGAAGCCTAACAGATAAGTAACAGATGGATATAATTTCCCTTGTTGGAGCTGCAACCTTCTTTGCCAGCAAGAGGAACAGAGAAGGTTTTCCAGGGACAGTACTAAAAGGACAGGGACATTTTTAGCCCACTCCTCCTTTTTCAAGAATTGAAAAATGAGTAGGAGTCCTCTGATAGAAACACTTCTATTTCTACATTTTCACACAACAGTTTCTTAAGGAGTGAGTTTGCTTGTTTATAAAGGCCACTATTCCTAGGAGGCCACTACTGGCTGCATATTTTACTGCAGTTTTTGTGGCAGGGTTGGAAGATATCAGTCCTTTTGCTTTCTGCTGTCTCAACAGTACAAATTGTTCCCCTTCCTAGATATCATCAGAAAATGGGCTACAAATGGAACCCCACTGTTCTTTGTCTATTTGTCTGTGAAATATCCTTGCAACATACCTTTTCTAATTTAAGGAGGAAGCAATCAATAAAGTCTCTAGGATTCTCTGGATCCAGGGTCTCCTTGTGAGTGTCCACTTCATTCCTAACGAAGTCACAGACCTTTTTACAGTCAGAGAAGATTTTCTTATGAGGCCCAGGAAGGAAGTTCATGATATTTGGCAAAGTGCTGTATACCTGAAACATGGTGATAGTAAAACTTAGCCATTGCCAGTTTACTTCTTTTGCTTTCACTCAGGACTGCCTAAGAAAAACTAGTTCTCTTATGAAGTGCCCTCTTGTTTCTTTTCTTTTCTTTTTTAAAATAAACTATATGCAACATCATATAGAAACATTTTCATTTTATTCTACAATGTCTTCAGACCAAATAAATATAAAATATGAGCTCATATATGACACCAAGTTTATTTAGTTATGATTTTTTTCCTCTTTGATTATATTTCCTCAATTACTATTAAACTAAATAATATAATGAAAGCTGATCTGTTATGGTATATTTAAAAATCACTTATTTATTTATGCCTCTGTGAAATGGACAGTAATTAGAATATTTAGCTGGGAAGAAGCAGAGCTGAAGCTGTATACATCTTCGATAACTCTGAAAACAATCACTGTTAAATAGCAACATCTGAACTAACCAAGAGAAAGAGGATCAGTACTTGATCAAGAGATGCAGTGTGATTCTTACCAACTCACCTTTTAGAAGTAGAAGTAGGTAGAAGGCCATTTTTAAAAGCTTTTCTTTAGATTGAAGGGAACTAACTGACCCCCCCTCCCTTAAACAAAGAGAAAATTATATTGCAGAAGTTCATAAAATTGACCTACCAATCCAGGAAGGCTCACAAAGAAAGTTACAAATGCCTCCAAGATTTCCAAAAGTTCAGTGAACTTTTTATCTTCATAAGAAAATCGATTCCCAAAGATAACAGAGCACATAACGTTAGAAACAGTAGCTCTGACAGTTGGAATTATATCAAAGGGCTGACCTGCAAACAAAGTTAAAGGAGAAAAGACATTGTTTGACCAAATTTTGCATTTTCAAATCTTTTTCTGTAATGACTTTGTAAATTTTATTTCTACAGGTAATCTTTAACTAATGATTGGTCACTTAGTGACTGTTTAAAGTTACTATATCCCTGGAATAAAGGAGTTATAACTCTGTTCTGAAATTCTGATTATCACTTTTCTCCCCCATTATGGCACTATACTTTAGGCACTCAGGAACATGGCTGCATATATGGCCATTTGTAATGTCCTGTGATTGTACTTTATAATGGTTTTATCAGCAACTGGAAATTACTTCCAATTGTTGGCAAAACTGCATCATAATAAACAGTGATCACTGTGTTCACTTCATCACCACCAAAATGGTTGTAAAATCAGGTCAGTCATGTGACTGATCCATTTTATGATCATCGCAACATATGGCCATAATGGGCAGGCTCCATTATAGTCACACAGTACATCAAGGACTACCTGTATTACATTCTGTTGGGAGTTTAACACTTATGGAACTTCATGGTTCAAACAACATCTGCCAAGAAAATTTCCTATTGTACAGCTTGATTCTAGTAAATCATATCATGGTCATAATCTGTGCATCTCTGAAAGACAATAAAAGTGCAGATGGACCATTTTTCAACCTAGTGAACAAGTCTAGGAGTTGGGGATTCAAAGCACAGGATGAACCATGCAGTTAGGTTTCAGTCCACTTTTTAATTGAGATGAGCTATCTTCAGTAGCATAACTCAATAGTATTAATTCAACAAAAACCAAGTATTTATTTTTGAACTTATAAATAAACTATCTCACAAAGATGTTGTGATGAAATGGAGGCAGGAAGTTTATGTACAATGCCTTGTATTGTGCATATAAAGATGGGATATAATTGTATAAATAAACTGATAGCTAAATTAAAATCTGCAACATACGATCACCTTTAAAGCTTGCTATCTTCTCTACCAAACAATGAGTCTCTTCCGATATCCGCTCAGCCATTGATTTCTTTCCCATTCCAAAGTTTCGTAGAGTGGAAATAGTAAAGCGACGCACTATCTTCCATTTCTCGTGTTCGCTAATAAGCCCTGGAAGGATAGAAGTTGGCAATAACAAAGAACAGACACTGCAGCATTTTTACTTGCCCAATAGTCTCCCCTCCACCCCAGAAGTATTACTCTTCCCAAATAAATTTACATTTCTTCTTTCAGAAGTAATTAATAGTTTGGCAAAAGGTAAAGAAATCCAATTTGCTTATGAGTTTGTATTCATCTTATTCAGATTATATCTTGGGTAAAGTTACAAAATGTATGAATATTTTGAAAGGATAGAAGAGCTTTCATTTTTTTCAATATTTCTATTCTTCTGCCTCTCACCCATAAACATACACCAAATCTATTCTTGGGGGTGGGGGACATGTTATTTTGCATTGCTTTAACATTTCCTGTAATTTGACATCTTTAGTTTTGGAACATGATGACAATTTGATTACTGGATAAAGTTTGAAAAGGTCACCTGATTGCATCACCTACCTACAAACTTTTAGCCTTAAAAGATTTGAGTCATCCCCTCAAAATATCCCCTCAAATTAATGTGCAGATTAGCACATTAAACATTCCAACCAATCAATGATATCTGATGGCTTCAAAGTTTTTTGTAGCCTTTTGAAAGACTTGGAGATTTGAGAACTTCAGTATTACACAATGTTGCAGCTTTGCTATTGAAATATACTCTAAAATCGAAAAGGACACCTTTCTTTCTTTCTTTCTTTCTTTCTTTCTTTCTTTCTTTCTTTCTTTCTTTCTTTCTTTCTTTCTTTCTTT